ATGTGTTTTGGCCCCCCCCCCCCCCCTTTTTTTTTTTTTCCCGGACCCCCCCCCCCCCACCGTGAAAGGGTTTTTTTTCGGCAGACGGGGCATGGACTGTTTAAGGATTGGGGGGTAACGTTGAAAGAAGCGGAGGACCTCGTGAAGGTGCGTTGCGGACGGCCGCGGTAGCGCCAGTGATGTATGGGTTGTTGGTGCGTTTTTTTCGCCCCCCCCCCCTCCCCCCCCGGAAAAAAATGCTTCCTCCATGTAGCAAATATGTATGTGTTACCATGCAAGCGTGCAGGAGATTGATAGGGTTTGGTGGTTGATGTCTACAGTACTCTAGTGACGCGCGTCGTCTCTTGTTCTTTTGCTCTCTCTCACCGGGTCAACTTTTGCTTTCGTGGCAGCGTGTTCCGGAAGGCTTGACGCTTCCTCCCCCCCCCCCCCCCCCCCAAACCCCCAGAACCCCCTTTTTCCCCACACCCCCCACCTTTTTTTTTTTTTTTTTTATTTTTATTTTTAGTTTGTAAACACATTGATAATAGGCATATAGGAGTGGTTTACTCTACACAATTCTTGACAATTTCCATAAAACACTCTCACATCAGATGGACGAATCCTAAATCTCATATTGAGACGTCTTGGAACGGCATCAATTTTCAGTCTTTGAGCAGCCATTCTATAGTCGTGGATTACATCTTCGCTAGAAGTAATGATTTTTAAAATTAAGTGAGAATGCTTGTCAGCAGAAGATTGTTTTCTTCCAGAATAAGAGTTATCAAAAAACTCCCTAAAAAATGTGCTCATGGTCCAAAACCATTGACGTCTTAAAACAATGTAAAACATTCTTCTAGAGACAGATTCCACATAAGCAATTATGTATATAGTAGGCACTAAGCTTACGATGACGAACAAAAAAGGAGACAGTGTCCAAGTAAACTCTACTATTCTATATCCATACTTTCCTCTTAAGGATTTGGTTGGACGATGGTTAAAGTTCCTTCCTACAAAGGAGAAAGATACTATAATGGTTGTTAACACAATCATAAGCCACAACGAAAAGAGGTGGAACCTCGTGCCGAATTCCTGCAGCCCGGGGGATCAATGAGTTCTAGAGCGGCCGCCACCGCGGTGGAGCTCCAGCTTTGTT